AATGGGCCCAATAACCCGAATCAGTGACTTACAAAGTGACGACTGATCGGGGTGGCGACTGCTGCAGGGCATTGCGTACTCTACACATCCCGCAGGAAGTGGAGTGACAAAGAAGACCATGCAGATAAAGTACGCGGCGATGTTGTTTTACCACACGTTTTCATCTTAATATTTACGATAAATTATTTCATCAAAATTTTCATGCCTTCCCTCATGTTTATTTTCACCGCTTTTGGAAAGGGAATCCCGCTCGTTGTCCCTCTCCCATTTCCGTGCCGCGTTTTTCAGCGGCTACTCTTTGCGTCCGACGCGCCGAGTAGACTTTGAATCATGACCGACGTTTTCTCACGGAGTGAAAAATAAGTCGCACGGCTAATCCCCGCCGCGGTCCAGCTGGAGGCGCCACCGCTCGGCCGCGGACGCGCCACTGTTTGCTCCAGCCCGCGAGCGCCCGTAGCGCCTCTGCCATTTTCGGTCCTGTTTTTTTCTTTTCTTTCTTTTTTTCGTATCGAATCGCTGAGCCGCGTCGCATCATCACAGAACAACAGAGCGTCGTTGCTTCCAGAAAACCACGGCGGCGAGAGGGCGGCGGCGGCGACGCCCCGGACGGCCAGGAGGCGGGGTGCAGCCAGGCGGTGATGGGAAGGCGCCAGGACCCCCCCCCCCCTTTCCCGTTGCGAATCACTTGTTCTGACTGACAACGCCTCGCCGCGGCTGGTACCAGCGGAGCGGCCGGTGCACGCCTCGAACTCTGCACCGCCAGATAACCACGCGCGCCCTGCTGGCCGGCCACCCTATACCCAACCCAGCGGCCCGGTGTACGCGGCGGACAAAGGCGAGCCCGTCGTTGTGTCACCGTGTCGCTATGGGCCCGGCCCGGCCCGGCCCGCGGGCTGAGAGTGAGCAACGCACAGAGATACACACAGTCACACACCAGTACTGTACCGCCAAAGGGGCTCAGCGAGGTGAGACTGCTGCAGCCTCAGAGGCGAGGCAGGCAGCTCACTGTAAGCAGAACACGCAAGCTTTGTTATAACATGAAAAACAATGGATCGAGGCCTTTGTAAAGCAATCATGGTAAAAAAAAAGGTCTCGTTTTTTTTTTTCGGGAAAAAGGGGAAAACTTTGAAGCACTCCCGTTGTTTCAGGAAATTTGTTTGAATTTTCCTCATTCTTCGGGGAGATTTCCTCAAAATCTGAGAAGTTTTCCTCCCTGAAGATTTTTCCCCCGTTTCCTCAAAAAATCACACAGTGCTTGTACCCTCATCATTTTACAACTCACCAATCAATCAACAACTCTGGCTTGAAGTATTACAGTTGCATGACATTTAAAAATCGTTGTAAAAATACAGCACATTTATTTATTTATTTTGTTACCGTGGAGACTGCCACGAGGGACAATCTCAAAAAAATTTAGCCATCCCGGGCGGGCTACTTTTCACATGACGTCCTCCTCGTCTTCCCTGGCCGCGGCGACCTTGCCCCTTCGCGCAGAAGCCGCTGCGACTGACCGTCACGGTGCGCTTGTTCCCGGCCCGGGCGCCTTCGAGCACAACCGGCGGCAGAGCGGGTCCGCGGCGTTTCAAATCCCTGCTAATAACGATGATCTGCGTGCCGGATGGCTTGCCCAACACAGCGGGCCGGCGCCGGGGGTTCGGGGAGTTAGTGTTCGGGGCACGTGAACCGCCGCCGCCAGCCGCTACAAGAAGTACGCGTAACGGTGTGTTGTAGTTAGAAACCTCGTCGTATGATTGTTAATTTTGCAGTCGTATTAGGGTTTCCCCTGAGGGAACCATATTTTTATTTGATGGTTGCTCGAGCTCTCCACTTTGGCTGCGGTAACAAATTCACTGAAATGAAACGGAATCGCTAAGTCGCGCTTTTCCAGGGGTACCAAAGAAGTTTTTATCTTAGTACCTCTACAAAGGCCCAAAAGGCTCAAAAGGTGCTAAAAATTTGTGACTTTGGCCGTTTTGGTGATTTTCTTACAGGTGGTGTCATGTCGGGCTTTTTGCCTATACTTACAGGCGCACGGCACTGCGATTTGCGAACCCCTTGGGCTCCCCATACTCTACAGGAAATGCTGGATAGTGGAGTGATGTGTCTCGTCTGAAAAGAGTGACGAAATTTATCGTTGCTCAATTAGAGCGGTGCCCGTTTCCATCGCTCCAATTAGGAAGTGATGCGTGTGGAAAAATGACCCCAGAAGAGTGATGGTTTTTGAGCATTGCCATCGCACCTTTTGAAAGACGGTCGTCATTCGAATAAACCAAGATAACAACTCAAATAGAGTGACGAAGGCAACTGTCGTCGCTCTGCCAGTAGAAACGAAATTGGAAGCAATGCATGTCGCTTCTCCAAGAGCGACGCGCGTGACTCCTGCATTTTCAGTGTCAAATAGGCAGCTGTGGGAGCCCGCGAGAGCCCGGGGCGTGCCTGGCGTCGAGGGGTCACACCCAGCAGCTGTGGCTCGTCCCGCCAGACACCGACATGTCGTCCCCAAAGTGGGCCGTGCTGCACTGCTGCTGCTGCAGGCCAGGCGTCCGGGTCGGGGCGACACAACGTGACACAACGTGACGCGGGTAATCGTGCGTGTCACGCTGTCGGGGGTCCCGTGGGGGGCCCGGCCACAATCTCGGCCGTGTTGTGCCTCCTCTCCAAACAGCTCTCCCCGCTGCTCCTGTCTATCTTCATCCCAGATACGCCACGCATCCCCGCGCTGCAGTGAGTGAGCCTGCGAGCCTGCTGCGCGCGCTGCGGCCCGGCTGCATGGTGGTCCTGGCAAACCACAATCCTCCAGAAACCACACACACACATGCCTTCTTATTTTTACTTGTTTTCTTTATTATTATCCCTGCAGGAGGACAGGGAGCCTTCGCGGGTACACGAGTCCGGACTCACGCGCGCTGCTCTGGGATGCTTTCCGTCGACAGTGAAAACTAAAATATTTAGAGCGATCTTATTTTTAATATGTGTTATTAAAAAGTTTCTGTGGGAATCTGAGCCAGACTCATTCATTAAATAAATGGCTGTGGTAAAGTCCAACTACACATGCACGTCCGCATTCTACAAAAAAAAGTCGCGTATTTGTTTCATTGTGTATTTTTACAGACAGGAAAATAAATAAACAAAAACAATGTCTTATGTAAATTTGGATGTACTGTGCCAAAGTCTACATGCGGTGTGATTAGAGATCATACTTAGTTGGGCAAAAAGGTTGCGTGGAATGGGACCCTCAGTGGAACCTGACCTGCCATTATTGGGCTCGTCCATCAGCCCGGCGCTGTACGGAACCGAGGCAGCTTCAGTGTCGCATGGGCTGCCTGCCGCCCCGGCGGTGCGAGCCGCCCGCGTCCACTCGAAGTACGTTGAATTGTTATCGTTATCGCTTCGACTGACATAACGTCACAAATCAAGTGGTCTGAAATAATGGTGCGACTTTTACAATGTGGCGCAACAGGACAAACCGCAGTGTTTGATTTTCAAGCAGCTATTTCGCGAAAGTAAATTCATTCCTATGCAGACCCTTTTGGAAAAACTTAATTCTAAACCTCAAAATAATTTTTCTGGGGTGGGTGCCGCGTGATGATATTTATCTTAGTCACTACCTGGCGCCCCAGATATTCCCTGCACCGAGCCCTGCACAAAATTTCTCAACAGAACACACTCGGAGATGTTTATCATTTATGGATATCTCGCAGGACAAATATTGTATTTTCAAGGTGGACAAATATTTTTTCTAGAAATAGGAGCAACATGTCAACGTCAAAGTTTCGGTGTACCGGTAGAACCGCTGGCATTAGCTGAGTAGTCGTATCAAAGTCGAGATCGTCCTATCAGTTGAGTTGACGTACAGTCTGAGCACCGTGCTAAGCACCTGCGTTCGCGACAATCCAGCACAAAAACCCTCCAATAAATCACGCCATTCGTGGCTCATTCTCGTCATACCTCAGTCAGGGAGTCAGGGGTATCCCGACGCTGGAGGCCGGGTCAATCGACGGGCATTCCGCCCGTTAGCGTTGGCCCCGCGCCGCGGGGGCCCGCTCTTCCTTTCTCGCCAGCGGCAAAGCCCCGGCGGTAGCTATCTTCTGCCTGACCTCGTGAGTCAGCCTGGCGGGTAGGCCGGCCCGCCGAGCAGGCCTGTCGTGACCCCCACGTGCTGCATAGCCCGCTTCCCGCTAGGGGCCTCGTCCAGCTCGGGCCGGGCCGGGACTGCACTCTAAGAGTCAGCCTGGCGGGTAGGCTGACCCGCCGAGCAGCCCTGTTGCCTACCTCACTCAGGGCCCCTTCCTTCGGCCTCCTCCTCCGGCCTCCTCCACCGGCCTGCACTCTGTCAGTCAGCCTAGCGGGTAGGCCGACCCGCCGCTCAGCCCCGTCGCGCCCACGCTCATGTTGCCTACCCAGCCGGGGGCCTCCGTCCTGCCTGCAGTGCACTTCGCGGCCCACGCCCGGCTCACACACTGTCCGCCCTGTTCCTCCTGCAGCCGGACACTCGGCGTCTCCGTGCGTCACACGTGCGCCTGGCCTCAGGAGGGACACCATCCCATCCTGTTCGATAAAGCCTCAAAGTTTTACGCCACACCGGGGTGGTCTCTTTCCTGCTCAAAGTCTGCGAACGACGTCCCGTCGTGTTGTCGGTGGCACGCCTCAGTCCGGCCAATGGCGCGGGGGCAGCCCTTCCCCAACGCAAAGACGAGAGGTCACCCGACTGACGAGACCCTCCGCGTAGTACGGCAAAAACATTTAACTACAATATTTTTCGCGCGGCACAATAGCGGGTCAAGGAGCACGAAAATCCCGCCGCGCACACAGACGCGTTGTTACACATCGGTGAAAATACAGAGCCGATCGGGAGATAGCCGAGTGATAAGATAGGTGCAGACCGTCCGGCCCGTCCGGCCCCTCTGCGGTCCCTGGCCGGGCGGCGCGGCATGGCGCGCGACTGGGGGTGGGGGAGGGGCAGCGGCCCTGCCTGGCCCGGCAGCCCTCCCTGCCCGCCCCTCTCTCTCTCACTCTCACTCGCGCCGCCACCGCGCCAGGTTGTCCGCGACGCGCGCGCGCCCCCTCAGCCGCCCGGCCGGTTCCCGCGCAGGACCTCCAAGCACGACATCCAGGGCCTCCAGGACATCGGCCGGACAGACTCCAGGGGGCTGACAAGCGCGACGCTCCGGATCCCTCCGGGACGACAAGAAGGCCACCAGGAGCCCTCCCGTGATCGCCAGGACGGCAGGTCCGCAGGATTAACCTCTTCGTCGTCGTCCTCGTTCTCGTCGTCGTCCTCTTGTGTTCACTGTCGTGCGCGCGTGTGTGTGTGTGTCTTTGTGCTGTGAGTGCTGTGAGCGTGTCTGTGTATATTTCGACTCCAAGTTTTTCACTACCCCGCTGATCAACATGACGGCCGCCGTAAGTGTTTGTGTTGTCTTTGTTCGTCTTTGCTGTGCTTAACGCTTACGCTTTTCGCTATCGCTTTGGGGGCAGATAGAGAAGGGTGAGCAGACGGCTGACGGAGCGCCGTGAGAAAGAGACAAGGTCCAGTCGAAATCCGAGCCGGTAGTAGGACAATAATCTGTCACTTCCAAAAGAATGACATGCAGCTTATTTTCGACGGCTGTCAAATAAGGCTATGACGACGACGGACTGCGTCGTCCGATAAAATATCGACAAAGCGTCCTGCGTATAGCGCCACCTCCCCCAACGAGTGCCCAACGAGATACAGCCAATGGCCAATGGCTCTTCAAACATCCGCAAACAGTTGGAGAAAGAAACTCGACTCGACTGACTCTTAAACCAACGACCCGACCCGTGTGCGCTAACTTGCCCCGATATTGCCGCCCTGCCGCAGTGTGTTTTTCCCCTGTCCGTCCCCTAATGACAAGCCCATAACCGCACGCACATCTCCACTCTTTTTTGTGTGTGACATAACGCTGTTTTGACACGTCGTTATCAACCTGAAATTTCGCACCGCCCCGCCCTGCGCTCCGCTCCGCCAAGCCCCCGCCTCGCCTGCCTCCAGGTGAACGGACTCGACCTCGGTGGCGGCCTGCGTGTGTGTGGCCGTGAGCAGCGCGACGGTCACTCCTCGGTACGGCTCGCGTACGGCCTGCGGATACGCGGAGCAAGTAGAACGCCGAGGTGCCGGGCGGTAAAAAGAAATAATAATCATGCAAAAAGAAAGAATTAACTGCCTTGTCGTCTTCGGGGACGCTGTTTACTGCTTTGCTCTCGCCGCCGCTGCTGCCGCCGCCGCTGCTGCCGCCGCCGCTGCCGCCGCCGGTGGCGCATTGCAGTGCGTGACCTGAGGCGTCGTGAAGAGGGGAGAGGACAGACGGGAGCAGCCGCGGAGCAGCAAGTTAGTGGAGTAACAGGAGTTGCGACGGCGGCGGCGGGTGGCTGTCGTTGTAGCTGCCGCTGCACTTTGACGTCTACGTGCAGGTGTACGGCGCCCGCGCGACTCTCGCTCATTGTCGCAACGAAAAGCAGGCAAGAAAGCATAGCGCGGGCGAGACGTGCGTTGCCATAAGCAGGAGGGTGCTGCTCGTGGTTCGAACATACCATACCGGCGTCGGTGTAAACTGACTTTTTCTCGGTTTGTTATTTCCAAGACCGCAGACGTCCGTCCGTCCCGTCCAAAGCTAAGCGGCCCAAGGGCGTGCGAGTGCGAGCTGCGCTGTTGTAACGCTCCCTGCGCCGCCACGCCACTCCACGCCCCGCCCCAGGGATTCCTGCTTTGGGATAGCCGGCGCACCGACCCGCCCCTCCCCCCTCTCCTCTCTCTCTCTCTCCGCTGCTGCCCCTTGGCCCGAGGTGCACCTCCAGCTTTGCCGGTGGCCTTGGCATTTTCTACAAGGGCTGCTCTCTAGGCTCAGGATGCCGTGCTATGCGCACAAGCAAAGCAGCCCGCGCCCCAACTTGTGGAAAAATAAAAATTTAGGAACGAAACACCAAATTTGATTTTGGCCTTTCCCTTGTAGGGCTTTCTCTACCCGAAGGTAAAAATATCCAGTGTTGATAAAGATTGCCGTTTTTAGTGTTTTTAATCAACAGCGCTTATTGGCAGTGTGTTGCAGCGGTATTTTAGTCTGAAACCCGTATCACTATCCCCGTGGTCAGTGTGTCACACATTTCGGGCGGGCGCGGTTAGTGCCCCTGACACACACCTGATCGGGGGCAGCAGAGAGTCCCACCCGGCAGGTTATGACGAACGCCCACCACGCGCACAAGAGCGGGGCGGGGCGGGGTGGAGCGCGGCGGCCCACTCACGGCCCGAACACACGGAGAACACACAACTACATACTTCGGCGGGGCTGGAGACAGAC